AATGATGAAAAATGTGAATGGAAGTGGCGACGTAAAACTGACACAAAACAACAACAAACTTTTGCCCAGCCAATTGGAGAGTTTCATCACCAGCACGTGGAAAAAACCACCAATGAGCGCTAAGCTCGAGATACCAGCGAGTCGTTTCCCATCAAGCATTTCGCTTCCGCAGCCCGTGGAGAGGAACTGCGCCGCCTCGCCGCGCCTCGCTCTCAAGGCTGCGGGCGTCTTTGTCCCGCGAGATTTCAACGTCTCATGTAGGCGAGCCTCCAGAGCAAGTCGGACAAAATGACTAACCATCATGCAACGCACGAGCAAGACGTTGATCGAAATTGCGCAGGTCTGCGCAGGTCTCGCTTGTCTCAAACAAGCCTACTATCCGGATGTCTATTGCGTGTGGACGGAAGCTTTTTTGCGATTGCGTTTGCGTTAATCCTATGCGTTTAGCCGTTTTCGTCCTCGTGTGGCCGGGGCATTAGTCACTTCATAACACCAAAGATGGGTTCGCTCTGAAGTGAGGCTCCACTACACTAAAAAAGAAAAAGACAAGGCACAGTGTAATGCCTGTTAATAGCTTAGGCATAGCTCAGTTAAAATAAAGCACAGCTATTGTGCAATACATTAGTATTGCATGTATATTTTTTTTATTTGTAAAAATGTCAGTTAAAGCTTAAAAGAATAAAGATATTTTTGTTATCTAAACGTTTGACCTCTTTCTTTTACAATTTTGGAATCGAAACGGGGAATCGATAAGAACCGGAATCGATAAGAACCGGAATCGATAAGCGGAATCGGAATCAATACATTTCAAACGATACCCATCCCTAGTAATAAGCTGCTGAACAATCGACCTATTTGGTAGATTTTTGGAGGAGGACAGGCTGAAAAGAATTACTAAAAGTATACATACTACAGTCTAAAAACTCTTACAAGTAAAAGTACTGCATTCAAAATGTAACTCAAATAAGGTAAAAATAATTAGCATCAAAATATACTTGAAGTACCATAAGTAAAAGTACACATTATGCAGAATGGCACTTTTAAGCACAATTTGTATTTTACATCATTGTATTATAATGATTGAAACTTCAATGTTGTTCAAATGTTTATCATCTTAAAGGTCCCATGTCATGGCCATTTCTACTGATCATAATTCCATTGTTGAGGTCTACTAGGATATATTTATATTGTGCAATTTTCCAAACTCACATTGGTTTCTCATACAGCATCTCTGTATAGTAGGCCTATGTGTATTCACTCTCTGTCCTAAACGGCTTGTTGGAGCTCCTGCCCCCCCCCCCCCCCCCCCCCCTCCCTCCCTCCCTGTGTGCTCTGATTGGTCAGCTCGCCCACTCTGTTCTGATGAGTCCATCACCGTTACAGTGGAACATCAGTGATTATGTGTTACAATGGCGTTAGCAACCAGAAAATGACACCAGCAATCACAAACAGATGAGAATGCTGCGTGGGGTCTGGGTGCTGTGTTGGCGGGGCTCGCCAACACAGCACCTGGCTTGCTGCTGGTGTTGTTTCCTGGTTGCTGCGTGGGGTCTGCGGGACGGCGAGACACGGCGAGGCCTGAGCTCGGCCGGAACACACACACACCCGTAGCCTGGCTGTGGGTCTGTGTGAGTGCTCGGACCGGGCCCGGGCCGGGCCTCGCCTTGTCCCGCCTGATATATTTATGATCCACGTCACGTTTTCAGTTTTGGCGGCCATTCTCCTGTTTGTCTAGAAGTCTTCTCACCAGGGCTCTATAAATAGCGAACTACGGCAGATAAGTAATATTTAATGCAGCCGAACCGTGTATTACAATGCCGTTATGTGATGACCTCCAAATAGAAAAGCAAGCAAACTCGGAATAAAGTATTATTTTATTTAAAACGTTTTTTTGCGGATTTCACATCAACAGGAAGTCCGGTTAACTAAAATGTCCGTGCGGAACAATACCCCAACCCATAGATCCGTGGGTGAATAATGTCAATCACCAAATTACACACATCCCTTCACATTTACATTTTAATTTACATTAAAGTATTTCGTGAGGCCTTCTAAAATGTTTATAAATATAATTAGGGTTGTAGTCGAAGAGTTTTCCTGGCAACGCAATCGCACAACGGCACGTCCATTAATTCCACAACCACACACATGGATTAACATCGATTTAATACATTAATGTAGCCTTTGTTTCTGCTAAAAGAGGTGTCAACCAGCTGGGACAACAAGAAAATCGGCGAAATCGAGTGTGACTATAAAAAAAAAAAAATATTATATTAATATTGACAATAACAACTGACCGTCGGGGAGCATTCTCATTGCGTCTATTATCAACGCTATGGGAGGTCTATGAAGGTCTATGGGACGCCCTGCCCGTTGAAAACTGACTCTCAAGGGGTAGGCTACCCTGTCCGTAATAGAGTGACGGGGAGGGGCCCTGACCGTCCGTCAACATGTGACAGGTTGGGAGTGAGAACGTGTTGACAGTATAGAACAGATACGAAGAGTCCAGCTTACCTTCTGCAGGACGCCGCTCGCTCCACACACTGACTGCAGCTCCCTCAACTCGCACTGTGAAACACAGAAAGATACATATCTGATTATAACCAAGACTTATTTTACATTGTAAAATTGTACCATGTAACAATAATATGTAATTAGCAATACAATTACACTTTATGGAGCCACATGTAGATATCACTTTAAATCTAGGTGATGTGTGTTTGAAAAACTTATTAGGGCAGCGGTCCCGACAGTGGTTGTGATTGGCCCCGGTGCAAATATTGTTTTGATGCCCCCCCCATCGCCCCAAACATAAGCGCACACTGATGCGCTCACACACGCACGGACATACACAACCACTCAGAAGCGCCACATGTAGGCTATCAACAACAGCCTGCCCTGGCCTCAGACCACCACAGCCTGACAACGGCACAGCGAACTAAGAAGAGGATTAAAGCTGTTTCCTTGATGTTTGTCTCTGGGGAATGGGCCGGTAGGCCTACATGGACCGGTTGCTATAATATAGATTTTGATCTTGGCGTCGGGGGTCTCAATAGCGCCATGGAGTCCCCTATCGGTTAGGGCCCTTGGGGGAACTGTTGGACCACCGCCGGGCACAGCCAAATCCAGCCTCTCCTCCTGGCTGGCTGGAGAAGAAGGTTGCACAGCCACAGCCACGGATATAGCTTCACTTGTGGAGCTAGATGGCAATGATGGTGGTGAGCTATCGCTAACCTCCGGCTCCATCTGCATGTCAACATTGCTAACGTTAGCGCTTGATTTATGAAAAAAAAAAACGTCTAACGTCTAATTTTGTCAGTTTAGCTGTTATATCTCCTTGTTCTCTCCTGAGCGCCGCTCTTGTGCTTTGGTTTGCTGTACATTATAAATGCAAGCTATTACATTTTTTTATAATGCTGCCGAACTTGCTGCTGCTAGCTACAGTACAGTACAGCTTGATTAAACGGTGCGCTCGTCACGCAATGTATCACATGACATGAAAGGGAGCAAGGTCATTGGACAGACAAATTACGAATTAATTTAGGTTGCTTGGTTACTTTGAAGACTGCGTGAACCGGTCAATGCCATTGGGGCCTGGCTGGCTCTGCGTTGCACCGGCTGCACCGTCGATAGTTACGCCACTGGGTTCCCAACCTTTTTCAACTCAAGGCCCACTTAAGAATAAAAAAAATGTTTGCGGCCCACATTCAACCATAAACAATACAGAGGCTAAATAAAGTTCTGATTGGTCAATTCAGAACATGTGACACTTTGTAAATCCAGTAGAACAGACCGCTGTCAAGGACTGTAATGACCGTTGCTTCGTGGCAAAACTCTACAATTTAGCCTTCAGTGCAGACATTAATACTCTTAAAAATAAAAGTAACAAAGGAGCAGATTTCAAGTCTTCCTCTGGTAAATGGGAAATCTCCCCCTGCACATATTGTGCACAATAGGCTGTTAATCCAGCAGCGGCTGCACAATAACTTTGGGCTAAAACAACTTCCCAGTTAGTAATGTAATCTCTCAAACAACTCAAGCAAGGCTTATTCATTCATTTCCTCTACCTGCTGCATGCATTCAAACTTGCCTTCCCCAACGCAAGTAGTTTTTATCAACCCCCCCTCTTAAAATCTGTGCCAACAGTTTGTTGCACTCTATTCTTTAAACTTTTCAAGGAAGGTTTTGCATTCTTTTTTGGGATATGAATCAACTTCATGCAATGTTGGTATTCTTGTCTTGGACCTTTGCTTAGGATAGTCGCATCGTCTAGCACAGGGGTGTCAGACTCAAATAAACAGTGGGCCAAAATTAAAAAATTGGTACTAGTCGAGGGCCGGACTGGTTCAATGTTTATTGCAAAACGTATTGAAATAAACGTATTGCACATATTAAACCTGGAACTAACAAAGCTTAAATTATTGCCAATAAAAACAACATTAAATAATTAGTTGCATTAATTTCTTATGGCTCTATCTGCAGCTTTTCCCGAGTCATTTCTTATGATTACATTTTCCCACAGGCCAACAACAGCTTCAAAAAAACAATTTCCCTCAAAGAAAAAACCAAACATGCCCTGTTGTCGTGAGAGAAAAAGTACAAAAGGAAACATTCCACATTCCTACAGTTCATTGAAACTCAGTGTGCTGCTCTGTGATGCTAGTTCAGATACTTGGCATCTCATCTTGGGGGCAAGGTCATCAATGTTTGGGCTCAGGCTCTGAGCGGAGGAAACCCTCAAGATGGAGTGAAGGTGTGCGTGCAATATGCCAGCGGGCCAGATCTAATAGTAATTAGAAATGATCCTGTGGGCCGAAATTAAATCCACCAAGGGCCTGATTTGGCCCCCGGGCCTTGAGTTTGACACATGTGGTCCAGCACATACTGAAATAGAAGATTGATGCAGGTAGCAATAACTATAATACTAATCTCGTTCTTTGACTGCATTTCGTGCATTATCTACAATAGCAGGAGCAAAATGAAATGTACTGACACACTTCTAAATAAAACCACCATCTTTATTCTACAACCGTCTCTTCCAACCTTGCAGTCAACAGATCAACCAAAAATATATACACACATTTCCTGCGATGGTGATAAAATGTATACAACTCAGTCAGTGACAAAGATTAAACATGCAGAAAAGACAAACAGAGCAGTTGCAACAATTAAGGAAATGACATCACGAGGACATGGTGAGGGAATATACAAATACAGTAACGTTACATGTAAAACCAAAGGCCACCTAGATTGAAGGAGGAGGGGAGAGGGAGCAGCAGTTTCTGATTTACATCCTTTTTACTGAGAAAACACCTCAGTGTAGAAAGTGTCCAAATCACAAACAGGATTACTGTATCTTGTGTTCTTTTCCTTTTTACTCTCAAAGTCCTTTCTTTGAACTTCTGTTTCTTTGAAAGTAAATACAAATGTCCAGCCCAGTGTGGGGCACCTCTAGACTGTGGCTGGGATACTGTAGCTGCTCCTGTTGCTGATGTCAGCGGGAAGCGACGCCACGCTATCTCGCGCCCCATTGGTCACTCTCCCCTCCGTGCCATCATAGAGTGGCGCTGCGTCTGGAAGAGGATGATAATGCGCACTCTAAGCAGTTGGCAACAATTGATAATCAATGTCATGTACTACGGTTTAACTACTGAGGCCCAGTCGACACGTACATGGGTGCTTTTTAAACATAGACTTTTAATCAATCGCACAGTACCAAACAACCTTTTAGATCACTGAAAATAGAGATTTTATAAGACTGTTTTCAGTGTGAGATGTGATGGAAACCAGACTTTTAAAGATCCTTACGCCATTGTTTGATTTGTTAGACACAAAAAGAGGTGAAGTTTTGAACTCCGCACATTTTGCATGTTACTTTGAGTAACAAAGGGGTCAACATGTGCTATAGAGGTCACTGCTACACCGCCGCTAATGTCAGTGGTAGCCAGTATTTGTGTATTATCATCCTGATGGAGATTTTCTTTGAATCGTGCTTGTTTGAAGTTGCTTTGAAAAATACATGAAAAATACCCTGTTTAAAAAATACCTATGTACGTGTGGACTAGCCTTAAGCAGGTTGTTCCTGTGCGAACACAGCTCGTACCTCGGGTAGTTTACTTGCTACAACAACTGTATTCTAACAACATCCTACTTTTTCGGCCTCTGAAAATACACAGACATAAACACAATGTACATGCAAAATAAGTCAGAGACAGACGAAGACAATACTCTGAAACATATACGTGTTGTGCATGCACATCAATTTACACAGGATATCTACAACATAGACAGTTACATAAACAGAGGTGACCAGGTCACTGCAACATGGCCCTGCATGCGTTTTAGAACAATGATCATGGGATGAGAATGGATTGCTGAGGCTACAACAGGAAACATGCTATGACTTTTGAGAGAAATGACTCATGGCTGTTAGGATTATGACTAATGAGGACAGTCAGTGGTACACAGGAGAATATTAAAACCAAGCTACCTGTGGCTGCGTTATAAACCTCTGTGTCGTGGGTTAGATTCACTGTTAAAGAGTCATCTGATTTAGGGCGCGAAGGCTTTCTGAGAGATGATGAAAATAAAGTCAACTTGGGCAGTGATGTCAAGGAAAAAACGATTCAAGCCAAAATGATCCTAAGAATATGCATGCTGTAAAAACGATATGTAACACATTCTGATACAAACTTATAATGCACTCTAAACTATATCAGTGGTCTTTAAGTTTGGGAGATTTTGTACATTTTCTGTTTTCCTGTACTTTTATTTGCAAATTATATATATATATATATATATATATTGATATATTATATTCATATAATTTAAATTGTTTTTCACAATCACAATGCTACACACTATGTGTTATTTGATAGTTATAGGTTCAATATCAATGACGTAAATATCTGTACAAGGGAGAATTGCATATAAGGAATGAGCTGTTATTTGTTGCATTCATTTTTTTGCTCTTGAGCTGCTATTATTTTTCCTGGTGGGGGAACGATAAGGTTTTTTTATCTCATATTTTATTCTGCCAATAACTGTTCTTATTTATTACATTATATAACTCTACAAGTGAATATATATTCATTCATACTAATGTGCACTAGTACTGTATTACCATCATTTATTCAATCTATTTTTCATACATATTTCAAAAGATCATGGTTCTTTAGGGCGTAACCCCTCCTCTGTAGGCTCATCTTAATATCAGAACAATGGACCTTTGGCTAGTTGGAAAATACTGCACCATTTAACTTTACGCAAGACTTTTTATGGCGCAATCGCTTTCTGCTGCAATATTCCTTAGGGGTTTAAAAGTAACATTTATTATATTAATTAAATATTAAATATTGCTGAGTCAGGAGACAGGGCTCTGACCCAACATAACAATATCTGCCATCCTGCACCTATACACCTTTTTAATAAACACGTTCACTTAAACAGGAGTAAAGCATTTTGTGGTTTTGCAGAGGGTTCTTGTATTATTGCAAAACAATCAGTTTGGTTATTTAAAGGACTTCAATAAAAAGAATTAACGAATAGGCCCTCATCTATCAAGCTAATAAAACTAGATACACTGTCACTAACTTCCACAGTATGTGTCACATTCAGAGGAAGCAAGTAGTTTAGCCAACTCACACTGACAATTCAGCAGCTGCTTCTCTTTTACCTACAATAAGAGAGGAGAGGTGAGAAGAGGAGCAGGAGGAAGTAGGTGAGGGAAGTTTGATACATAGTTAGATATATGAGGGCTGAGTTGCTGGAGGACTGTAGGTCTCTCTACCTCTCTTGGATTTGAAGCACAGCACAACCACCACCACCAACACAGACAGCGCCAGCAGACAGAAACCCCCGATCAGCACTTTCTTCCACAACGCCAGGCGCACTATAAGAGAGAGACACAGAAACTCAGTGACAAACAAGCAGAAAAGGGGGAAAAAGAGAATGGAATACAATGAGACAGGACAACCCTAAAATCCAATGTTGTCAATGAAGCATGCTCAAATGCAAGGGGGTTTCTTATTTCCAAGCTGAGAGCTCTGATTCAAACAACCAAGTACAGCTGGCAGATATCTTCCCTCTCTTCCTTACATTTCGGTCTTCTGTAATTATCACTTTGTCCTATGAAGGACAAAGTGATAATTGTATTGTGTTTGATCATACGATATGAAACAATGCAATACAATATGATTCGATACTATATCATACAAAACAATACGATACGAAACAATAGGACATGATACAAAACTATATAAAACTATACAATACGATAGGCACCTTAAATTGAATTACGTTACGTTAAGATAGATACAGTACAATACGTTACGAAACGTAACGATACGTGACATTACGTTGTGTTGCGTTACGCTAGGTTACAATACATACGATACAATACGTTACATTATGCAACTTCATGTCAGCTCAAGTCTGACATGAAGTTGCAGCTCCACTTGCGACATGAACAAGGATAACTTTTTAAGACAAGATACAAGGAAACAAACATTAAACATGATATCATGATCACTGAAGACAACATGCTCGAGTCCCTCTAACGTACATTTTACCTGGGATTTAACTTCGACTGACTGACTGGTGAACAAAGGAGCGCTTCAGTCTAACCTTATATCGTGGGACCCAGTTTCTCCGATTTGATGGTAACAATTCATATTCGCTGATCAGGACATGGTTAGGGTCAGAGATGATGTTGTTGGCCAACCTGCATATGTTATTATGGTAGGTCGATTGATATAGTCTCTCAAAGGGTTGGTCTACAATCTTTGAGCAGATTCAGATTGGTGGAGCAGTTTTGACTTTAAAGCAGTGGACAAACACTTGTACAGTGTAGTATTGAGTATTGTATAACACTCAAAATCCCAGATGTATGAAACCAAAACAAATGTTGTCTCTTTCCCCGAAAGACCTAATGTGGCGGAGAACAAAAAAAAAATGTGTTTAATAAATCATTTTGGCCTACCCAAAGCCATACATCTGTTCAGTGTTTCCCATATATTCATTTTATGAGCACTGCTACAGCTTCACTCAGTCATTAATATGCTCTGCTCTTGTGCTTCACAGTGCAGGGCTTTCCCCACACACATGGAGCTAGCAGAGACAGAGGCAGAAACCTAGAGAAAAACACTGCAGACAATAATTTGTTTTTTGGGAGGGGTGCCTAAGTTGATTACATATGATGAAATGGAATAATTCAATGTATACGACAGTGCCATAGCTAAATGTGTTGGGTCTAAAGGTGTGTTTTGCTCCGCTCACCGGTCCCTCACAGCGGGCAGAGCTGCAGGTGCTGATCTCTCTCTTGCGTCCGGTTATACTTCACTCGCATTTATGTCCAAATCCATCAGATCTAGCTAGTTCTAGCTAACGATATGGCTGCTGCCCCACACGCAGATCACGCAGACTCAAACCTCATCTTATGCCCAAATTCCAGCTGAGAGGGTCTTCTCTACAGCTGGCCTGATTGTGAATCGCCTCCGCACCCGCCTCTCCCCTGAGTAGACATGCTCATATTCTTAAAGAAGAATGAGTATTGAATAGCTGCACTCTGTGCATAGGCCCTGTTATAGGTTGTTGATCTCTGTTGTAATAGGGTTACGTTACCCTGACCCGTTATGTTGTTCGTGTTGTTTGATCCCTCTTTCATTTAAAAACCAAGTTATGTTTTAAGCATGAAAGCTGTAGGCCTATAGCTGTCAACTGTTCACACTGTGATCACCAGTTCAATACATTTGACGAATACGACTTGGTTTCTATACTTATTTGAACATGTCTTTATTTATTTTTCAAAATTAAATGTCTTCTTTTTTTTTGTTGTATATTTGTTTTGGGATATAGGATATGTACATTTTGGTTAATCGGTTAACCGTTTCTTTGGGGGTCGAATATTCGAATATACATTTGCTTTCAAATTCCCATCCCTAGTTCAGAGTCATATTTGCATTTTGTGTCTCTACTGTGACATGTCTCCATGCTTTAATGTTCGAAGAGCTCTTTCTTTGTCTCTCTTTGATTGGTCAACCGCCTAGAGATCTTCCTCCTCATATTTTATCACGTACAAAGTGTTGGAGTGCTAGCCAATAGCGTGAGTGTTACTGAGTGATGGATTTATGTTACGGAAGTAAACAAAGGAGTACAATGGAGGTGTTTAGGGCAGGGGGGGAATGTGTGGGAGAGAAACTCCCTCAAAAATCTATATAACACACTAGAGGAGAGGGAAAACCCCCGAAGAATCACAGAGCCCCTTTAAAGAGGATGGTCCCAGTAAAAGTGCATGTTCTTGAGAAATAATCAGCCCTAAATGAGACGAGTTGTGTGACAGTTTTGTAACAGTTGTGTAACTGTTTTCCCCAAAAATATTTCTAAAAAGTGTTGCTGTTGTTTAACTCTGCCCCCATTTACTTAAATTCATCAATTTTTTATTTACCATGGAGTGAAAACATTTTTTTTGAAGAATTCCAGGTAACGCAGGCTGAGGAACGGATAGAATGATTATCACATTGTGGGTGAAGTATTCCTTTAACTAGGTATCTTTGATTTTTGTTAAATATCTCTCTAAAGAGACAGTTTGGTATGCCCCAGAGGTCAGGGTCACAGAAGTACAGGTCTGGACCAGTAGCAGTCCCTTACTGAGTGTAAAGATCGATTGGTCTCACCCTCTATGGTGACCAGGTCACTGCGGACCAGAATGTTGGCGTGGTTGATCGCCTCGCAGTAGTACATCCCGCTGTGCTCTTTGGACAACGCGGACACTCGGTAGTTCGTGTTGTTCATGTGGGTGGTGATGGTATACAGCGGATGTTCATTGCCAACACGGTACCACTTAAACGTGACCGGCGGAGTTCCATTTACTCCACATATGAGGTAAAGATGATCTCCCTCAGAGATTTCTGGTAGGTGGGGGAGGACGGTCAGAATCGGGTTTGTGAGCGGCACTGGAAAAGGGGGAGGAAAGAGGTGAGGTAAGCCAACAGTGTATATGAGTCATTAAGACATTACAAGAAATCACAAAATCACACTCTATCATTTGATTTAGGAATAGTATACTTATTAGTTAATTTAGATTAATAGATCAAAACCATTCTCATGTTTGTATGAGAGTTATGAATCTACCGCAAGCAACCGGTTAGCTTAGCTTAGCCACCTGTAAAACATCAACATTTTATTGTAGAAATCTGTTTTTGTTTAGATTAAACAAACTACACCTGATGTGTTATTATGTTAGTATAGAGATACTGCTAGGTATATTTTGTTACCGTTGGGCAATGCCAGGCTAGCTTCTTCCCCCGTTTCCCGTCTTAGTGCTAGCAAAGCTAATTGGTTGCTTGTGATAACTTAATATATCAAACAAAAATGAGTGGTATGAATCCATCTATCTCTTTGTCAGAAAGTGACTAGTATGTTTCCCAAAATGTCAAACTATTTCCTCAAACAAAAGGGACATTTTAAGTTAAATCTCTACATTGGAAGCAGCAGCTTGAATAATTGTTCTATGGCCGATGGGCGAACTTGATCTAGCTAAGACGATGTGACACATTAGAACGGACCAGAGTAACTAAAGAGACATTGAGGTGAGATGCTCTGTCAAATGCTGTCATAAAGGCCAGGAACTCGAGACATAAAACGTTTTAAAAGTGCTCAGAAAATGAAAAGGTGAGCATGCACAATTCAGGACAATTTGACAAACTCCATCTGCTGAAAACGGTAATGTAAAGGCTTCACAATAAGGCTCCAGTACTAAATGGATATTGAGGTTAATTTGTCCATAGTTTTAATGTATATGGCCGATATGGCAAATCCATTATCATGCGGTAAATACATTACATTACATGTCACTTGTTAGACGCTTTTATCCAAAGCGACTTACATACTCAATACTGTGGACCCCAGGAGCAACAACGCACAACCCACTGCACCACACGCCTCCCATCAAATTAATTGATTGATCTGGATTAAGCAACAATGATAAAGCAAATCAACCATTATACATGTAAAAATGGAGGAACATACTTGTTTTTAATATTTACCTATGACTGTAGCGTTGAGTCTTTTGCTGAGTGGGGCTTCTTTCTGACCATTCCTTGCTTCACACATGTACTTGCTTATTTCATCTGACTTTCTGACGGTGACGGTGAAGAGGGCTTGTTGAAAGGGCTCTTTGACGGTGGTTATGTTCAGTTGGTCGTACCCCCACAGCAAAGTGTAGTTTATCGGCAGGCTGCCAATGTCCGACTGACAGAGGATCTTGAAGGACTGTCCTATAACCACCCTGCCGACCACCGAGATCTTGGGAGTTGAGACAGCAACTGAAAAGAACAAGGGGAAAAATAAGACACACTGGCCAATGTTACCTCTAAAAACTAAACCCTGATCCCTCAGGGGCTTGAGTCTTCAAAGGCTCAACATTGTAAAAATAGGACTGGGCACAAATGTGCTTTTCCTAGTATGGCGGAGTCATGACAAACCAATAATTCAGTGGCGTAACTAGCAAGGGGCCCATGCAAAAAAAAAAAGAAACTTTAATATATATACAGTATATATTTTTTGGGGCCCCAATGGCATTGACTGGTTCACGCAGTCTTCAAAGTAACCAAGCAACCTAAATTAATTTGTCATTTGTCTGTCCAATGACCTTGCTCCCTTTCATGTCATGTGATACCTTGCGTGACCAGCGTACCATTTATCAACCTGTACTGTACTGTACTGTAGCTAGTAGCAGCAAGTTTGGCAGCATTATAAAAAATGTAATAGCTTGCATTTATAATGTACAGCAAACCAAAGCACAAGCTCCAAAGAGAAAGGACAGGAGAGAACAAGGAGATGTAACAGCTAAACTGACAAAATTAGACAGTTTTTTTGTCAAACAACGTCCTCGAAATCGAGCGCTAACGTTAGCAATGTTGACGTGCAGACGGAGCCGGAGGGTAACGATAGCTCACCACCATCATTGCCATCTAGCTCCACAAGTGAAGCTGTATCCGTGGCCGTGGCTGTGCAACCTTCTTCTCCAGCCAGCAAGGAGGAGAGGCTGGATTTGGCTGTGCCCGGCGGTGGTCCAACAGTTCCCCCAATGGCCCCAACCGATAGGGGACTCTATGGTGCTATTGAGAGCCCCGACGCCAAGATCAAAATCTGTATTATAGCAACTGGTCTATGTAGGCCTACCGGCCCATTCCCCAGAGACAAACATCAAGGAAACAGCTTTAATCCTCTTCTTAGTTCGCTGTGCCGTTGTCAGGCTGTTGTTGATAGCCTATACATGTGGCGCTTCTGAGTGGTTGTGTATGTCCGTGCGTGTGTGAGCGCTTCAGCGTGCGCTTATGTTTGGGGCGATGGGGGGCCCAAAACTATATTTGCACCGGGGCTAATCACAACCTTGTTACGCCACTGCAATGATTGGTTAGTACTTTTCTCGTTGGATGGGCTTTGTAGTTTGGATTGGTTTGGTTTAGGCATAATGAATACGATTGGTTAGGGCTTGGGGTTGGATTATCATGTTAAGCCAATCCAAGGCAGAGAAGGTTGTTAAGATGTTAAGACATTAACATAGAGAGGTGTGTGTTTAAAATGACTTTGTTAAATGCAGCCTCTGAAAGACGCATCACGTGAGCTTACCTTTAGGACGTACAGTCAGGGTTTCACTGCGTTTCACTATCTCCTTGGCTTTAGCTACACAGGTATAGTTGAAATCATATAGCAGGGCTTTGACAGAAAATACTCCGTTGACTTTGGAGATCAGTGGGCTTTCGGTTGGATCAAGAGTGTATGTCAACTCGTCCCTGTCGAGTCTTTCAGAGGCAGAGGTCTCACTTCTGCAGTTTAGTGTCATGTATTCCCTTTGAAAGACTTCAGCAGGATACATGGTGAGAGTGGGCACTGAAAACAGCTCTGTGGATAGATACAGAAAACAATTCATCATCTGCTTTCATATCACTTAGAGTGGAAATGCTTTTATTTACAACAACAAAATGTGTAAAAAGACTGTCAGACTAATAGAGTGCCACAGTGACGCATCCTAAAACCCGGAAGTAAGTTAGCATTTTACCACTTCCGGTTCCTTCAACAAAAAACAATCATAAATCTTATCAATAGATTCATGATCGATAGATTTATGATCAATAGATTTATGATTATAACCTTATAAAAGCAGGGAAGACATGTGGATATTATCCGGCTGAACAAAACGTGATCTGTCTCTTAAATGTGTGTCAACCACAGACCTTATTTCAAGCTATTTTCCAAAATCCTATGGAGAAATTGCATTGCATTTTTGACGAAGGAACCGGAAGAAGTTTACTTCCGGGTTTTAGGACTGTGGCACTGTGGCACTCTATTAAACAATAAATAATAGAAATACTGTTAATTGGATAAAAGAAATGAAAAGCTAAGAACTGACTATTGAGTGTCTGATAACATTTAACAACATTGTATCAGTTTTGGGGCTCCACAGGTGTAGCATTCATAAGAATATAGTAATGGATTCCAGCTGAACTGGGAAGTTAGAATTTCAAAGTTCCCAGTCCAATTTCAACTTTAACGCCCAATAAAGTCAAATGTACGCCTTGAAAAGTCAGCAGAACCTCACTAACCCAGAGCTCAAGCTCCTGGATGACATCAACCAGTGGAAGCTGAAGTAAGAGTAATACACCTATGTATATGTTAATAAATCAGTCATACAAAATACGGTTCAACTTTTATTTGTGGCACTGGCCATGTTGCTTCTAAGCTTACTATGGAGTTTGTATGTACAAATACAGCGTAATGCATTATTAACTGGTATTGCTAACAATGGCTAGCAAAGCTAACAAAGCTACTCAGAACTCAGTATTAATGCTAATTATTGATATTTAAGATGAAACACACATCAGTAGCTATTACACATTTATATGCAGGCTGCAGTTTGCACACAGGTCTTTTTCCTGTCCACTCACCAGTCACTGACACCGCCTTTGTGTCAAATTTCCTAACATTTCCCATCTCTAATCTGCACTCAAACTCCTCAGGGTCTTTAGCCAGAGCGACCATGCTGTGGTTGACTGTGGAGTATCCACTGCTGAGAAGCTGGCTCCCCTGGCTCAGGTACAGGTTGATACTTTCCGTGCTGCGCGGATTGTTTTTGACCGAGCAAAAGATGTCGAGTTTGTCTCCTTCATAGATCTTGGACTCGGGGAAAATCTCCAAAACCGCTACGATGGGAAGCTCTAAGGAGACAAAACCAATGAAGAAAAAGCTCTGAGACGCCTCAAATGTACTGTGGCCCTGAAGTGCAAGTCAAAACAACATTTCAGAAAACACTACAACATTTCATAAAACACGACATTTAAAAAAACACTACAGCATTTCACAAAACGCTACAGCATTTCACAAAACACTACATAATTTCAGAAAATGCTACATGTTTAACTTTTGTCCAGTTTCTGAACAGATATGAGGAGCTGTGAGCTCTGTGTGCAACAGCTAACGGCTGATGTTTTGGGACATGTTGCGCTGTCGGGTGCTGACCGATCACGAAGTGTCATTTCTTGACTGGCAGCAAAAACAACCAATCACAGCAGTGCTTCTCTGTCTGGCTCTGTCCAATAACAAACAACAAGTGTTCTCCCTAAAGGAATACCCTTTCCGTAAAAGTTGAAATGCTGTAGCGTTTTGTGAAATGCTGTAGTGTTTTGTGAAATGCTGTAGCGTTTTGTGAAATGCTGTAGTGTTTTGTGAAATGCTGTAGTGTTTTGTGAAATGCTGTTGTGTTTTGTGAAATGCTGTAGTGTTTTGTGAAATGCTGTAGTGTTTTGTGAAATGCTGTAGCGTTTTGTGAAATGCTGTAGTGTTTTGTGAAATGCTGTGAGGTTTTGTGAAATGCTGTAGTGTTTTGTGAAATGCTGTAGCGTTTTGTGAAATGCTGTAGTGTTTTGTGAAATGCTGTAGTGTTTTGTGAAATGCTGTGAGGTTTTGTGAAATGCTGAAGTGTTTTGTGAAATGCTGTAGTGTTTTGTGAAATGCTGTGAGGTTTTGTGAAATGCTGAAGTGTTTTGTGAAATGCTGTGAGGTTTTGTGAAGTGTCGTTGTGTTTTATGAAATGCTGTAGTGTTTTGTGAAATGTTGTTTTGACTTGCACTTCAGGGCCACAGTACAATGCTTTGAAAATAACAGAAATGTAAAGATGCTTCTCACCTTTGACTGAAACAGTGACAGAGAGGCTTTCTTTTGACTTGAAGGACTCTGGCGTTACAAGGACAGTATAGCCACAGTGAATTTTGTGGTAGCCAGTGCTGCTGAAGTGAAGCCTGGCCTCCGCCTGGTTGGAGTTTACCTGCTTCTCCTGGATCTCTTTAGTGTCTTCGTAGAAGTAAAAAAAAAAGGATCCTGTCTCGCCGGGCGCTGTGCACGTGGCTGTTACCTCCTCCCCTTCACTGACCACATCCTTGTTAATGTGGAGAAGTGGTTTTGACAGGCCTGGAGACCCAACATGGGGGAAGATTTGCAGTTTTAATCCAACAGCGGTTCAAAAAAGTAAACAAAATTAGACCATCGTCTACCAATGTTAAAGAATGTATCCCACTTGCTGTTGCACATAAACACTAAGACTTTAATTTTGAAAAAACGGTTTGAACTTCCAAGCATGGGATTTCGATTCCTGTTTCAGTTACAATATATGGCTTAAAAAAATGCTAATCATGCCTATCTCACTGTTTTTTTAGGAGAATGCTGCCAACAAGCGTTTAATTTAACAACATTTAAAAAACAATTCTAACACCATCAAATTCACCTGAACTTCTCAAACAACCACAGATAATACTGTATCCACATTATCAAACCGACCTGCTACTGTGAGTTTCTTGGCTCCACTCGTCATGTCTTTCTGCTCAATGCTGATCTTGCACTTGTATTTGCCGGAGTTGGATACTCGGGCCTCGGACAGAGGGTAAAGCAGATCCTCTGAGGTGCTTGTGTTCTTGGAGTAGATGGTGTTGCCGTCCTTGTATATTCTGTACTCACGACTCAGCGCCTCCTGCCCAGAGCTGCTGACGAAGGCCTGGCATCTCAGAGTCACATTGGTGTCCCGAGTCACATCTGGAGCGGGCTCGATGGACAGGGTGATGTCTCTTATCTTGAATACTAGGGAGCATATTCAAACAAATGTATTAGACTTAAAGGTCCCATGTCGTGCTTTTCTGGTTCTTACCTGTCCCCTTGTGTGTTATGAAGATTTTTATGCATGTAAACGGTCTGCGAAGTCACAAACCCTCAAAGTACACCCTGTAGCGAGTAAAACTCGAACACAGAAAATACCTGTCTATGCTGCCCCAGAATGCCTCGTTGGACATTTATCTTTTTCTTCCTGGGTACAGTGACGTGCCCATACCCAAATGGACCCATTGGTCCAAATGGACCAATCCGTGGAGCCGTTAAATCACGTCTGCGGAGCCACACACACACACTCAATCTTTTCTCAGCTGCAGCTCCGCCGATTTCTCCTCCATGAGACGGCGGGACGCGGCGAGGCTGTGAGTCGGTGTGTGAGCACACACACAAACTCCCAGTCAGGCCAGTGTGTGTTCGGGCTGGTTTCGGGCTGGGTTTTGCTGGGCTCATAGGGAGGGGGGGGGGGGGGGGCAGGAGCTCCAACAAGCCATTTAGGACAGAGAGTGAATACACAGACTATACAGAGATGCTGTATGAGAAACCAATGTAAGTTTGGAAAATTGCACAATATAAATCTATTTTAGTAGACCTCAACAATGGAATTATGATCAGTAGAAATGGCCATGACATGGCACCTTTAAAGCTCACCTATTATACTATATTTTAACAATATATTATAAGGCCATATCTACACAAAACATGTCTCTGAAGTGTTTTGCTCAAAATACCAAAAAGATCACCCATTGTTGCCATGCCTCATACCCCTCTATTTCCAACCGAGTCTCACGGCATTTCGTGTTATAGTCACAACATTAATTTAATATTTATTCGTGTTCACCAACACGATTTTTGCATTTTTTTCGTGTCACACAGAACGATTTTAAAAGCAATGCATTTCTATTGTTAGTATGTTTCGTGCCTGCACCACGTCTTTTTGTCCGGTCGGGTCTAGGAATACCAGAAGCTGTGTGGTTCATAAAAATATTTTCTTACTCAATATCTTACCCTAAGCCTAACCCTATCCCTTTTATTTAAAATTGTATAATGTCTGAGTTTTTTTGCCGTCCACGAGGAAAAGAAATGGGGCTCAGAGCCTCAGAATACTGAAATCTGTATTTTTTGTCATCTTTTTTTCCTTCTAATTTGTTATTATTTGGTGTAGGCACGAAACATACTACCAACAGAAATACATTGCTTCGAAAATCGTTTTGTGTCAGAATACTGAAATCTGGATTTTTTAAATCTCTTTTTCCTTCTAATTTGTTATTATTTACATTGTTTTAAAACCGTTCTGTGACACGAAAAAAATGCCGAAATCGTGTTGGTGAACACAAATCAATAGATTAATTACGTGACTATAACACGAAATGCTGTGAGACTGTGTTGCTATTTCAGGCCCGTTACAAAAGTGCTGATTCTGGGTCTGGCCCTTTAAATCTAACCGAGCTGCTGCTGGCCACGCCCCTCTGGAGCTGCTGCTGGCCACGCCCCTTTGGAGCCAGGCAAGCTGCAAGCTGCAGAGCTAGCTGTTCTGCCGGTGTCATTACCATATGTGTTCACCCTACCATATGTGTTCGGGGTCCGTCGCTTACCAATGACGTCACGCATTGGTAATCGCACGCTGATTGGTGTAACTAGGGGCGCTGACTAGGGTATACCGGGGATAACGGGTCACAACCGTAAGCGACCTGTTATCATTCAGGAAACGACAGCGAAGCATCTGGGGTGTTTTTTCCACATAACTGTTCACGTCACTGTTACTAGTATTTATTTATACATACTAGGGCTGTACCCAAATATACGAATATTCGTTCGTTGGAGTACTATTCGGATATTCGTTTTGTTTGTTTTTTCCCCGTTTTATTTTCAAATTGAATTTATTGAAATCTCCAATATCAACGTAAGAGCTTGTGCCTCTTCGGGGGGTGCTAACACTTAACCATAAACGTTATTGTTCACTTTCTCCGTCTTTATATGTAGATATTACTTTTCTCCGTTAATCTCCGTCACGTTGTTTCCAAAGAAACAACAACTTCCTGTCAACAGCGCTACCTCTCCTTAAAAAATAAAAGAATGTCCATAAATAGGAAGCCAAGCCAAATTACACTTAAGACATATACAACTGCAACGAAAGTAACAAACACAATGCGATATCCTTTTCAATTTCAAAGAACACAAATTGGGTTACATTCACAAATAACTATAAAACAACAATACTGTAGAATAACAAAATGAATGCCGTGAATACACCGAAATACACGTGTTGAAGCGGTTCGCTGCTGATTACTACGCCCCTTACTACATGTGACATAATGTTATTTTCAATACTGGTTACAGTAATATGACACTGATTACAGTTCGATCACTATGATTAAAGAAAAAGATGGTCTTTGAAATATACCTTGATTCCTTTGTTTGTCTCATGATCAGCTCAATTTAAATAAAAGTATGGATATGTGCAAAGTTTTACCATGTTCAGATACATTACCATTACCTGTGAATATCAGCAGGCTTTATGGTTTCCCTAAAGAGTACAGGTTTGTCATCTCTGCTAAAGAGGTTATGTTTTCTCAATTCAATCTTGTTGAATTTGTAACGTGAATATCTGAGCTTTCACACCCACACATTGTTACTTGCAGATTCCTCAGAAGCGGATTGAATATATTCATTTGAATCACTTCCTTATTTACTTCAAACCATCACTCAAGAAGGGTCATTGTGTGGCATATTTGAAATGACTACCACTGAAAGTACAGGTGGCTAACAATTGAATGTCAGCTTTGCACTCAGGAAGCTGCTGTCACCATGGAATTTCCTCATAGTGGTAACGGCATACCATAAATATGAGAGTAGCGTAAGGAACAATGCACATGGGCTTGACTGTACATAGTCAAGCCCCAATTTGTTGATAGTCATCTGATTGTTAAAAGAACAACCATGGGAGATTATATATAAGTAGATAAGGAAGAGCATCTTATAAGCAGCTGGGGCTGATGAGATATGAAGCCACTTAAAAAGGCCCACCTAAAAATATATCAGAAAAGGTGTGTCCTATATTCATAATATTTTTGCCAGACTCCTTTTGACCAAAACAGTATTTGATGTGGGAGAACACAGAAGTTGCATAACTAATTTTATATAATAGTTCCCTATTGGACAACACTGTCTATGAAAAAGCATTCACTTAAAGGGGACCTATCATGCAAAATGCACTTTTGTACGTCTTTTATACATGAATATGTGTCCCCGGTGTGTCAGGGAACTCACCAAGTGTCAGAAAACACAACCCTCTCTCTTTTCCTCCATACCCAAATCTCTAAAAACTGGGCTGCAACGGATCTGATACAGACTGATACAGATTTGAAATTGTTCTGACGTCAGGAACGAGGAGCTCCGCCTATATGGCCAACTCTCCACCTATCAGGGGAATGTGGGGTTGGGCCACGGCCTGCCATTGCTGCTCGAAAGCGCTGGAGACGCTGTAGTACATATGCCAGGCCTGTATGTGGCGCTGTAGTCTGCCACAAAAGCAGTGAAGAAGACTTGGTTGGACATGGACTTGGACATGGTTGCCCTTCTGTTTATTCTCCACTGTGGCTCTTTTTCTCCCTCTCCGAGGCAAGCGTTTGCGCCTGCTGCTGCTGTAATTCAATGCAATCCCTCCCCGTCGAGGCAAGCACTGTAATTCTCTCCGGTTTGCCACAAGCAGATGACAAACACCCACCTCTCCGCCTCTTCCAAGGGACGAGAGGACCGTGCGGCAGAGTTTCAGTTTTTTTCGCCGGTCAACATGTCCGTTAAAGTTTAAATCTTCTGGACAAAATTAGAAAAGTGCCGGTCAAAGGTCGTCTTTGTTATTTATTGAGCTTTAAAACAAATGAATAATGACTATATAATCACATAAGAATAAAACACGAAGGACAGAGATCTCTTTTTCTCCCCCTCTTCTGACAGCCCAGCAGCTGATCTCAAAGTAGGCTCCCCTCTCCTGCAGGGGGGCGTGGTCAGCTGCAGCTCATTTGCATTAAAGCTACGTCACAGAATCAGCCCTTGCAAAAACAGGGCTGGAAAGAGCAAATAGAGCGAAATGAGGCATGGCTAAAATGCAGGATCTGTTTGGTATTTTGAAAAAAAAACTATATTTATATACTTTATATAGGTATGGCCCTACACTATATTGTTCAAATATAGCATGATAGGTCCACTTTAAACTGAATAGATTTTTTTAGATGGGCTTTACTTTTAAGTCACTCTTATTTATTTTTCTGTTGCCCCCATTCACAGCAATCCAATGCTTAGCTTCCGTGCCAAAACTCTGTTTCTCCATACTGGCAGAGGAAGTACTCATCTTGTACTTGAGTAAAAGTAGAAGTACCACTTCAATGTAGGAATAATGTGTAGGAATACTGTAGCAAGAATACTCTGTTACAAGTAAAAGTCCTGCATTAAATGTTACTAAGTCGAAAAGTATTAACATCAAAATAAACTTCAAGTACCAAAAGTAAAAGTAGTCATTGTGCAGATTGGTCCATTTCAGAATAATATATGTTTTATAATTATTTATCATTAAAGTGTTATCAAAGCTGGTAAAGGTGCAGCTAGTTTTAGGCTCCATTTACACGGGAACGCAAACGCAAACGAAATGCAAACGAACCAACAGCAGTGAGCAGCAGAGTTGGGGAGAGGTGGGGCTATGGCTTCATCGTTATCAGGAAAATGATCGTATAGAGCAGGGGTGCCCAACCTTTTTTGAACCGAGAGCTACTTTTAAAGTGGCCAGTCTGCCGAGATCTACCAGTCCAGATAGAGAGGCGTAGCCATTACTGACAGCCTACTACCAGGTAAATACACACTTCTACTTGAATAAAACTGACCTTTGTGATTAATACTTCATAAAATACTGCAGATCCTTTATCTTACCTCTTTCTAATCTACACACAGGGTTGGGAGGGTTACTTTGTAAATGTAATCAG